TTATTATTTTATAATGAAATTTAAGAAGGGATAGAGTTATTCAAATTTAATTTTGGCAACCAATTTTACTATTTTTAAAAAATGAAAATTTTAAAATAATCAGAATATGAATGCTTACAAAACATTAGTATTATTTACTATATACATGCTATAATTAGAATTTCGTCACGGTTTTGTTTTCAGTTCGAGCTTAATACATATAATTGCAAGTCTATTTGTTTTTCATCTTATGTACAATATCACATTAAAATATAAAATTGTAAATTGAAAAAGAGATATTTATTTAGTTACTATAAATTATTAGAACAAAAAACACTTACTAAAATTTATTGCATTTCTATGTTTACATTTTTTATTGACTTTCTATCCGGAAGCGGGAAATTTAAATTTACGCGCGAATTGTAGTCAAACTTATATAAAAAAATTTAGTATATAAATGGTAAAATTATCTTTAAAAGTTTCATTCCCATTTTTCTCATCTGTTCATTCTTCACTATGGCTGATGGAAGAATCAATCTTGATTTGTAAGTTTTAGAGATTTTCATTTTTTCATTTTACAGTATTTAGATGATTTAAAAAAAGTTAATCAGAAGATCTATTACGTTCTATCATTTATTTTTCAAATTAGAGTCATTTATAATTTCATTTTTGTAATTATAAAGCATGCCACTATTGTGGGGTATTTAATATAAAATATGAGAAAAGTTTAATCATATGGTTAAGAACTTAGCAACCTAGACATTGATTGTTTAGAAAAATCCACTTTTTTTTATATACACGTATACTTATAATTTTATGCAATTAATTATTCGATTGATATTTGTCATATCTTTTAATTTATCAAATGTTTTTAAAATGACAAACTTAATCTTTCATTGGGAATAATACATAAAATGACAAATTATTTGCTTTTATGTGTTGAATTTTTCATTAGGGTAAACAACAAAGGGGAGGATGAAAATTCTGAAAATAAAGATTGGTCGATTCTTCTTCCGGAACTTTTGGGATTAGTTATGTCTCGGCTCATTGTGAAAGACAACATTTGTGCTTCCGCCGTTTGCAAAGTGTGGTATAAATCTAGTGTCTCTATCCATAAGAAGAATAGACCTCTATGGTTTATGAAACACCCATTATCCTCAAATATCAATAGGCCTTGTGAGTTGTTTGATCCCTCGCAAGATATGACATACATTATGGAGTTTCCTGAAATAGCGGACATGTCAATTTACTACTCAAAAGATGGTTGGTTGCTTATGCATAAAGATCATTCATCTGAGATGTGCTTCTTCAATCCATTTATTCGTGTGCTCATCAGTTTGCCTACTTGTAAGAGTTATAACGAATGCGCTATCTTCACTTGCGCACCTACATCCGACCGTTGTTTGGTTTTCGGGTTGACAAACATCGACTTCAACAACAATATAGTCGCGGTCAACACTTTTAGGGTCGGTGAAACCGAGTGGAAGACATCTCTTTTCATGAGTCTTGAACGTTTCTTTGCTTACTACAAGAAGATTATCTTCTCAGGAGGTCTCTTTTATTGTTTTGGTGGATTAGGCTCGTTAGCGGTTTTCGATCCATCCAAACAAACTTGGAACACTCACTGCCTTAAATATGAGGAAGGCTTCTTCGCACCATCAACAGCAACATGGTTTGGAACTTACTTTATAGAGACCAAAGGAGATATTTTCCTCCTAAAAACTTTGGGTAAGAAGCCGCGAGTGTTTCGACTAAACCGTGATGGAGGTTGGATTTGGGAAGAGAAAGACACAATTGGAGAGGGGTTAACGTTTTTTGGAGCTTCTCGTGCATCTGAGTTTAGATCAGGCCTTGCGGATGACATGAAAAACAAACTACTTTTATCTGATTCACATCACCCCATGATCAATACTTATCTCTTTGGTGAAGGTAAGTATTTACTGGGAACTTCATGCATCCCATTTTGGGATGGGAAAACTAAGTTTCAAACCATTTGGATTGAGCCACCAAAACAATGCTTAGATTTTATCTAAATCGTTCATTTGATGAAGATAATGGTTTCATCATTGTATCGAAGAAAGTACCCAGCATATTTTGCATGC